TCTTTACAGTTTTTACTACAGGCTTAGCAGATTTGAGTTTCTGCCTGTAGGCTGGTAGAAGATGAACCAAACAGTGATCAGAGAGTCCCAGCGCTGCTCGGGGGACAGAGTGGAATGCATCCTTTAAAACAGTGTAGCAGTGGTCCAGTATATTGCTGTCTCTGGTGGGGCACGTAATGTGCTGTCTATATTTAGGCAGTTCACGGGTGAGATTAGCTTTATTAAAATCTCCGAGAATGATAACGAAAGAGTCCAAATAACGCTGCTCTGTGTGTGTAAATTGATCGGCCAACAGTTCTAGCGCCGCACTCACACTCGTGTCAGGAGGAATGTACGCACTCACCAGAATAAACGAGGAAAACTCCCGCGGCAAATAAAAAAGCTTACTGTTAATAAAGAGCTTCCAAGTTTGGGCAGCACATCTTCTTTAAAACTGTCACATCTGTACACCAGCCTTCATTGATATAAAAACATAATCCACCACCTCTTGTTTTTCCCGACGACTCGGTGACGCGGTCCGCTCTGAACAGCTGGAAGCCCGTTAGATGAAGCGCGTTTCCGTGAAGCAGAGCGCAGCGGAGTTTAAAAAGTCCTTGTTTGTGCAGGTGAGGAGTTGTAGTTCATCTGATTTATTTGCAAGGGAGCAGAGATTCGCCAGATGAATACAAGGTAGCGGAGTCCCAAAACAGGCAGAAACTGAAATCAGCTAAACCTGTTTTAAGGACTGTTAAAAGATAGACTAATGAAGCAGAGCGGTATTTACAAGCCTGTTTCGACCTCACTGATTGGTGTGTTTTTGAAGCTGCTGCCACCGATCTTGATAAGCTCACAGAGACTGTAACTTTATATATCAGTTTCTGTGAGGATATGTGCATCCCCACCAGGTCATTCTTATCATTCAATAATGATAAACCGTGGTTTACTAGGAAACTCAAACAGCTTCATCACGCCAAAGAGGATGCTTACAGAAGTGGGAATAAAATCTTGTATAACCAGGCCAGGAACAGACTAACAAAGGAGATCAGAGTGGCTAAAAAACCTACTCTGAACTACTACTTCAGCCAACGATCCGGCATCAGTATGGAGTGGTCTCAAGAACATCACCTTGTTCAAGACACCACCCCCACAGTCTGTGGAGAATCAACAACTGGCTGATGATCTGAATGTGTTTTACTGTCGATTTGAAAAGGCCAGTCTACAACCCTCCATCTGCTCTGATCTGCACTTCACACATTCACCTACCCCCCCTGCAGGTTAAACCAGGACAACTAGATGAGCCCCAGATACAGATCCCCAGTAAAGACCTTGTCTCAGACGGCCACCGGGACAAGACCACAGGAGCCAGTTGTGTCCTCTGCACAATGTGACTTTGCTGCAGCCTGGAATTGAACTGCTGGTTTCGTCTGGCCAGAGGAGAACTGGCCCCCCGACTGAGCCTGGTTTCTCCCAAGGATTTTTCTCCATTCTGTCACAGATGGAGTTTTGGTTCCTTGCCGCTGTC